GAGACAACTTTTTGCCGCCGTCTGTCAGCCATTTTGTTTTCATTCTGAGACTGCAGTCCATCTGCAACGCAGGCGCTACCAAAAATCGCTGATTGGTTTATTTTGACATCTCCATGGAAACTGAGACTGCAACGCATGCGCTATCGATGCGCTACCAATTTGAAGCGTAATATTCACGACCACGACGAAATCGCCAGTTGCATTTTAAGACGTGGACTTCCACAGGAAGCCCACGTAATAAAAGAAATTTTTGACGCGCGCGAGCGTGTTTTGATACTGTAATCAAACATGGTTTTAGACCAATCACAGCGCGCGTAGTATCCTAAGTATTTTAGAAATCACATTAAACGGAACACGATCGTCGTTCCTGATTCGCAAGACAACATAACAGGTTTTGTTCAGATGCACGGAGTCTAAAGGCTGATTTACACGGTACGATTGTCGCGTACGACTTGTAGTATACGATTTTCCTACTACAAGTCGTAGGATTTTAAGCCGTAGTTCAAAATCCTAATACAAGTCGTAGGTTGCGTACGACTGTTGTAGACAAGTCGTAGGGGCATTTACACTGCGCGATTCAAGTCGTATACTACAAATCGCAAGAGACAATCGTGCCGTGTAAATCAGCCTTAAAACTGAAACATGTTTCCGGTATTTTTTGTCATTCAGGAGGYTGTTTCTGTTGGTGTCATTCTTCTTTTTCTTCTTCAACATTCTGGTYGGTTTGATATCTTGTTTACTGCGCATCCTCAAAGGAATGGTTCTGGGTGTTCTGTTYATTGGACGAATTGACCGRCCCTTGATTATGAAAGGATTTACAAACTTAGACTCAGGTTTGACACGTTCCCGATCTCCCGTTGACGAGTTCCAAATCAAAGTACATAGATAAGAGTTTGTGGCAGCTGCTTTCCATTAGTCTCCTCTCGCAGCCGTTAGGACGTTCGTTCCCAGAATTCTAACGGCTGCAAGAGGAGACTAGCTTTCCATTAATGCCGTGCCTTAACAAGCGCTTAAACTGCCCTATGGACTCTGCCTGTCTTAATTCACTTGACTGTTCCATGTCACAGCTCCACAATAACTAAAGCTGTTTTTACAGTGTAGTGTACGTGGCTGTGTAACATCATTTATCAACAGAGTCCTTTAATGCATATGCGGTTACTAATTTCATTACAGAGATAATTGGGAGCAAAGCACTTGTCGACACTTGTAAACCATTGCTGCACGTGCCATTTGCTGCTGGCAATTTAGGGTTTTCCAACCCAGAATGATCTTTTGATTTATGTGTTGTTTATAGAACGAGAGTGCGTCGTGTTTTATCGTGATAAATAGATTCGAGTCGCAGCATACAAGCCATTTTTAGCACATACGAAAATTCTTTATTTTGAACCAACCAGAAATCACCTTTCAACAAGAGAGTATTTGTGAAACAATAGAAACGATCGCATGTGGGTTTTAAGATTAACGTACACTGCATCCTCGGGAACCCAGGGGTAATCTTCTGTCGTTCGTTACTCACTCCCAGAAAAAATACCCCTGGGCACGAAGTCAGTTAGGCCTTGTTCTCGATTCAAAATTCAAAATGGCGGCCGGTAAGTTAATCAACCAATCAGAATGTTCGAGTGAATCACTCGACCAATCAGAAATTTACCGGCCGAAATTCAAAATGGCGGCCGGTAAGTTAATCAACCAATCAGAATGTTCGAGTGAATCACTCGACCAATCAGAAATTTATCGGCCGCCATTTTGAATTTCGAATCGAGAAGGTCTAACAGACTTCGTGCCCAGGGGTATTTTTTCTGAGAGTGAGGAACGAACGACAGAAGATTACCCCAGGGTTCCCGAGGATGCGTGCACTGATGTCTTATTGAGGGTTAGTCAGTCAATAAGAGATCGAGCACTGTTAGAAAGTGTCAGTTTACATTAAGTTTTGTTATAATTTCAAATAGCATACATTGCGTACATTGGGTTTCTTCATCTTCAAGTTGCACACAAGCATCCCGTGGTCAGAGTGTTCAGCCACATACTGTGGACAGGCATGCGCAGAAAGCAGCTACAGCGAMTSCAATCAACTACTGGTAAGCCAATAGGTATTCATAATTATATGCGTTTTGTGTTTTTTTTTTGTTGACTATCTGGTCGATGGGGGCTTAGTGRTGAACTCAGGATTGGGATGGAGRGTTCAACCAGATTGACAATGAACGATGGAAGACATTTAAAGTGCACATGACACCATTAGAAATTCATTCTCATCCAAAAGAAAAAAAAAATGCTGCTAAGTACGTCTGTAAAGAAAGAAATTGATTTTAATTGTATTTTCTAATTATTGGGCAATTAAAACTTGGAAAATGCAAATGAAGTGACGTCTACTAAGGAATGATTTAATATACAAAAGAGGACGTTATTCTTTTTGTTACATTGGAAAAAGCATTTTCACTCAGCTCTCAGTTATTGCTCTATTGATGGTTTGAGCTCTTCAACCAAGAACAACATTACACAAACAATGTAAAAMGAATGGACCAATTCTTATTTGACGTCACTTCATTTGCATGTTTCAATTTTCAAATGTCTATAAAATTAACTCAAAAAATACAATTCAATATCTATTTCTTTCTTCACAGAAGTGATTGGTGTTGAGTGCATCATTTACATCGCAACTCTAAATATTGTTGTTTTTTTTCTTGACTGATCACGTGTTAGAWAGTGCCAGATATATTACGTGTGAAGTTTCATTGTAAAGAGAACTCCCGGTTGTGTGATCTTGCACTCGTGTTGCCGATGTAGAATTGAGTAATTCAGATACTTTTATGTACTTCGATTTTCTGTATTGTATTTGGTCGGTAGTCATTACAACTCATTTTCATTGTCCTCACCGCTATTTTCTTTCGTGTTCCAGTGGATGGTGTTGGAGCGGAGAATAATGCCGCTGAATCAGATAATGGATTAACAGGTGAGTGAATTGATGGGCGATGAAGTGATTAAAAGATTGATTRATTGATTGGTTGGTCATTGGAATGATTRATTTGTCAATTGGTTGGATTGATTGATATATTGTTTACTGATTGATTGATTGAATAATTGACTGATGAACTGATTCATTGATTGGTTGATAGATTGATTGATCGATGGATTGATTGATTGATTATTTTGTATAGAACTCAAGGAGACAAATTCATCTCGTCCTCGTGTATCAGCGTCTGCGCTAAACAAATGGTTTATCGCAGTCACAGTGATCAGAAACCCAACGTTGATCTACAATCGTAAAGGATTCCTTAAGCATATTCTAATGGGAATACCCAACAGCCCTAGCTTAAATAGTCGAGAAAACAGCGTTGCACAAAGCAACGAGAAACATTCGTTAAATGGTAGACGAAGTTCGAGTTCATCAACAAATTATACAGATGGTCGACAAAAATTATTAAATAATAGTCCATCAGCAAGTGGTAGTAAAGACGTATCTTCGAACAGGCCTTCGCGGCGAAGACAAGACAAGGAGGAAGCTAAAATTAACAGGCAAAGAAGTCAAGAACAGTTACCGCATGTCGAAGTAAACACAACGAATGATGCACTAGATTTCTTGCCAAATGGCGATGCAAGAACAGACGACCGAGAACGAGAGGACAGGATTATTTTTGTATAAAGTACTTTAAAAGTAAACTATTTTGAAGAGTTTTATATTTTATCAAACGTCTTTTCGATCATGTCGATCATGTCGCGAATAGGCCTTATTGACTGTTCTTGGAGAACGAGAGGACAGGATTAGGTTCGTACCCCAAGCAAACTATATAAAGTAATCTATATTCA